GGGAGTTTTGGTTTGAGTGCGCGCGCACGCTCCGTGAAGACCACAAAAATATTCAGCCATGAAACAAGATTGCCATGCGTCAATTTTTACTCACGCTGCGTGGGTACCGGAGGGCCCAGTTGACTTAACGTTCTTCAGGAAAAACAAAAGTACTCTAAATGGGTTTACAGATGTAACGAATAATAAATGCGCGCCACTTTTTCTATACAGTGAAGTAATAAATACAGTAACAAGTTAGTTTGAACTGCTAATTTAGTGGAAAACGTATTTCTGGGATTTAACCAATGAGATCAAAACTCAAACATCGTCTATTATTTTGTTGTGTTTTCGACTTCGTGTCCCCAAGGCTCCCCATGTGAGGCCCTGCATCAAAAGGGAATAATAATAAATTTGGGATTACGGTTGAGAGAGACGTTATGTCAATGGCTGCAGTCGTGCTTTGTGGAGTAGCATCAGAACGATGCAAATCTTCGAGATTTTGGATCCCGTTATGCTAAATTATTGAAATGTAATTTAGAAATTGTAGAATACTATGATTGAATTTGAATTATTTCAACAGCAGAGACATCCTCGCAAAACACAATGTACGATAGTCAAACAAGAATACGGAAGTTGGCGCGGCAAAGTATTGCTGGATACTGCGGTTGCCTAGTACGATGTTTGCGAGGAGACAGTACCTTCCTCGTACAGCGTCTGCGCTTGCTCGAGAAATTTCATCGTTTTCTTGCCTGTTCTACTCTCCACAATTTGACATTGAAATGGTTCTGACTACGCCTTTCAAGATACTGGGGGTATTCAAAAATCAACTGGTTTCGTTTTTTGTCTGTGATTTGGATTTGGGACGATTGGCCTTGTTGGAACAGACGGCTCCACAGTTGTTCGCAGTTTTGCTTTCAATTGCATACGAAGACGTAGTTATTCACAATCGCATTATCTGCAACGTCATGTCTTACTGTTTCTTCCATGTTGTTCGATTGAGTCGGTTGCTCGCTTGCTTTGATTTAATCCGTTAGTTAGTTGCCTGCTTTGTTTCAACCAGTATGAGTATGCTTTTTATGATTGATAAACGCGGTGTTCGCATACTGTGCGCATCGCATGGCATCGCATGGCATCTCATCTCATCTCATCTCATCTCTCCGCGTTTGGAAAGTCCCAGAGAGCATTTCAAAGCGCATGCTGAAATTTGCTATGCTATGACAATCATATCCCTCCTCGTCCGCCAAGACTACAAAAGTTCGAAAGGAGAGCGTATGCATACACGGTCAAGCGTTCCATAGCTACGAAGCTACGAAGCAGCCGTGCACAAACCATCATTGCACGCACTACGGCATGCATGCACGAATAATTGAAGGCGTAGTGCTTCTTCGTGTCACAGTTCATCTCATTTCGTCGCGCAACAATGTGTCTTGTCAACAGCGTCAGAGTATGCCAACGTGCCCTTCATCGCTTTTCTGGTCGCAACCAAAGCCGCCGTGGTGCAAAGTCCGCTGTCGCGGGGACTGGGCCCCGATCTCGTCGTCCATAGTGAAGAAAATATTGGTTGTGTCGATGTAGTTGCCCCCAAAGGTGCAAAGAGAAGCGCCATCACTACCACCATCCATCATCGGAAGCAGCTTGTTTGATCCATTTTCTATCAGTTCCTCGAGTGGTTATTCCGGAAAGCCACCGTGGAGGTTATCGTTAAGATTGTAGTTGTTGTGATTTGCGTTGCAGCTGCTGATCATGGGACCCATTGAGTGAACCGCCTGTGGTCCGGCAAGGGACAGATCCGGTTGCTGTTGCTGCTGCGGCTTAACAAAGAAATCCTCGGACAGCTCGTCCATCGCTTGGACAAATGGTCTGAAGCACGGCACGGGAGAAGGTAGTAGATTTGGATCCAGTGCCGAGATTGTGTTTGTTGTTGATGGTGCAGCTGCTCCCGTCGAGTTGGTTACACCCCAGTCGCCCTTGTTTTGCTCCCACCTTCCCGTTGATTTATTGTTGGTCCCTCCCGCCTTCTGCTTGGGATGTTGTATTTGCTTTTTATTAGATTTGGTGCCTCCCCCATCTATCACTTGTTTGCTGCAGCTATTGTTTAACTTATTCTGGCGAGACCGGGCGTCCCGAAAGGCGATCCGCACCTTCCTTCGGGCGACCTCGTTGGTGGCCTCGACCCAGCACAGACCGTCGGATTCCATGAGCTCCTCCTTGAGAAAGCGGGCTCCGTACTGGTTTTTGAGGATCCTAACAATCTCCCATGTAAGGTTGGTCGATTCCTTCTTGGTTTTGATGCTAGAGTACTCCGCCAGTTTGGACTGAACGAGGTTCCGGAACATGACGTTCCCGGGGTGCTTCATGACAACCTGTCCCCGGCCGAACAAAATGTCGCTGTGCTTGGGGCACTCGATGATGCGCTGTCGGAGGGATACGCCAAAATCACCAAGGTACTTCGCTTCCTTGGTGCGGCAGAATTCCACCCACTTTTTGTGGTTGGTCAGATCGAGCTCCCCCGTCGATGTGTTTAGGGGTATGTTGGCAGTGGGGATTCCAAAGGACTGGAGGATGCGCATGCACTCGGCGGAGGTGCCTGAGCGTTGTGTCAGAGAGAGAAGGAGAGGGGAAAGACAGGTGTGGGTATACATGAAAATACATGAAACAAAAAGGAGAAAACTAAATTAGTTCGCAATGGAGCTGCAACAGTACCACGCGCATTGCATTCCTGCCAAGAACTACAGTCGATCCGTCGTTCATTCCAAAAGTAGTATTCGTTCGTTCGACCGACTTCGGTCCCTTCCCAGGATTGTTTTACTCACCCGTGTGCACCCGTACCCTGGACCTCGTCTCGCTCTGGACCTTCTTCATGATGAGACTCAGGTCCGAGTACTCCTCTGTCGGGAAACAGTAGTGCGCAGCCCCCACCCGGAGCGGAATAACGGCAACACATTTCGACTGGCTCTTGCTCCTCCAGGTGAACTCCTCCTCGTCGATCCTGGCGTAGTGAAAGAAAAAGAGGCAAACGATTCCCAGTTGCTGCGACTTGACGTCCCCTTCCAGTAGCGCCATGATCATAAACACACAGATGCGCATACGGGAGGCCATGTGCTCCGCCCTCGTGAATTCCGTGTTGTCCATGTCGTTGTCGGTGGCAGTGTGGACGTAGACCCGGCGGCCGGCCCTGTCCCGACCCGGGACCAACTGGGTGTAGCCCTTCTCGATGTGATCTATCTCGCTGTCGGTCATGTCCGAGAGACGGATCCGGCGCCGCAAGACCTTGTCCCCAAAGAGGTCCCGGGTGAAGTCCATGTAGGCGCAAAGGCGCCTGGCCGCCTTGGCAATATCGAAGCGCTCGCAGCGGAGGAACAGGATGCGAAAGTCCTGCTCGTTGACGTAGCACGGCGTAGGCTTGGTCTTTGTCTTTTTCTTCTTAGATTCGTTCGGTGTCTCGTTCTGCGCTGCTGCTTCCTCCCTTAGAAGCTGCTGGCAACGGTCAAAGGCCGGGGCGTGTCCCCCCTGGCGGAGTTTCTCCAGCTCCTCCGCCAGGGCCCGGAAGGATTCTTCGAGCATCGCGGGAGTCTCCTCTACTACCCCGTGCCGGATGCTGTACTCCCGCTCGACGCCGATTCCGTGGATCTCGTCGTTGATCATTTCCCTCTCGGCAAAGGAGAGCTTGTTGAGGTCGCTGGCAAGCAGGACGTCGCACTCGTTGACGGAGGACCTTGCGCGTGATTGTGGTGTTGGTGTTTTTGCGCTGCCGTTGCCATGGCTAGTCGCAATGTCATCCCAATCGCCGTTGGACTCGGTACTCGAATTCGAATTCGAATCCAAGTCCAAAGAATCGCCGCCTGTGGCCCGTTCGCTCGTGCTCTCGTCATCGCTCTCTTCGAAGAGTGTTCGCGTCTTCGGATCTTGCATTTTTTGGAAGGAAAGATCGGAGCGCGACGCTGTAGGATCGTCCCCTACAACCATGGCTCAGACGCAGACAGAGTGTTCGCACTCGTACGGTACGAGTACTCGCAAACAACGCGTCGAAAGAAAGGAAGGAAACAAGATTGTGCACTCGTAATGTACCCGTTACCCGTATGCTCTCAAGTGGGAAAACACCAAGGTCATCGCTGTTCTGGCAATGGTATGTCGAAGTATGACGATTCCTACCGTAGCAGTAAGTACCTGTTCGGCCTACAGCTTGTGTCAACTGCTGTGTTGGTCGATGCAATAAGAGGCCAGATGTTGGTGAACACACCGAAGAGCTAGGAACGCTTCACAATTAAGTACAGTACTAGTACGTACGTGTACCTGATATTCTTCCGAAATTACGTTGAGCTGCTCCTTCAATGCTAAAAATCAACTTTTTAACCCTCGAATATTATATATTTTATTCGCTCGACCGTGGTACGGTTAGACTTATTGCTACTGGCAAGAATTACTTTTATTTAGTACTTCTAAGGTTAAAGATCCGAAAGCGAGTTATGCCCATGAATTTGCAATACATTACTACGAGTTTCGTAACAATTGAAACAGGACTCCGCCAGAGAGCAAAAATTGGTCTGCTTCGGTGGCAGTGGAAGTCGAACGCACTGTATTGGGAATCAGTGTTCAATATTCAACAATAACCTCACCCCTAATATATATTTTTTGTGCTAATTCGTGTGTAGAGGTTATCAGATCCTTCTAGAAGTAGTAGTACTACTACTGATAGTAGTAGGTTTCAGTTATTATTATTATTACTACTAGTACTAGTGCTAGTGCTAGTACTACAACAACAACAACAACAACAACAACAACAACAACAACAACAACAACAACTACTACTACTACTACTACTACTACTACTACAACTACTACTACTACTACTACTACTACTACTACTACTACTAGCTACTAGACTGGTACTAGTAGGACTACTAAAAAGTACTACTACTAGTAGTAGTACTAGAGGCACCACCGGTGGTGAGTGTGCATCAGTGGTGAAAGGGCACAGTGAGTGTGTATCGGTGAGTGCTGCTTTTCACATAGTAGCACTTGTAGCACTACAACTAGCACTACAGCTTGCACTATGTGAAAAATAGAATTAGCTTGAGAAAATGAAATAGAAGTAGTTAACCACCAGTAGTAGATATAGTACTGAAAGTACAGCAACTACTAGTATTACTATTTCTGGTACTACTTCTGTTTTTTTTACTACTAGTAGTAATATAATATATCAATATTAGTAGTAAGCTGGAGCCAGATTTGGAGGAGCTGGAGCTGGAGCTACTAGAGATATATCTACTAGAGATATATGAGCTGGAGCTGGAGCTGTATCTACTAGAGATATATCCTCTACTAGAGATATATCTACTAGAGATATATCTACTAAAGGTACAACCATGTGATAAACAGCTAGCACTAAAGCTAGCACTACAGCTAGCACTACAGCTAGCACTACAGCTTGCACTATGTGAAAAATAGAATTAGCTTGAGAAAATGATATAGAAGTAGTTAACCAGTAGTAGATCTAGTACTGAAAGTACAGCAACTACTAGTATTACTATTTCTGGTACTACTTCTGTTTTTCACATAGT